TCCACCAATTGGTAAAGAACATCATTATTATTAATACCAAATTTCAATCCATTTCCAATTTTTGGTGCAATTTTCATATCAATCCAATTAAGAGCAGACTGGTTATAAGCTGATTGAAAATGTTTGGCGTAGCCCAGAAAAAACTGTATCGAGACACCTTAGCAATTAGATTATGAGCCCGAGTTTGAGCAAATAGTCAACGAGACGTAGCCGAGTTGACTGTAGCTCGTGGAAAATGAGACAAAAAATGAGAAAACCAGCAAAAGTTTTCTGTTTGATAGTTTTTTATCCTCCTTTTTGCATGGAGAATAAGACCAGGATTGAGGTAACGGACCTTCGTAAATGCATCTTGTCACACAGTTATTATTTAATGTTTGGCAGATCTCTGAAAGCTGTCTGGAAAGTAACTCCATTGCCGTTGTAAACGTTAAACTTCAATTTATTTTAATTTTGGGATGAATCTAAACATGCAAAACAGGGAACCATTTTTGCAATGTGTGTTTTCTTAACTTCATTGTGTTAAAATGTTATAAACGTGTATGTGTTTCTTTAATGGATTTAAATTTGCCTTATTTTAATAGGTGGATTGTGGGCGGAAAGATGTTCTGGTGGGAAATCCTGTCGTCAGTTTGGACAATATCTCTGTCTTTGCGAAAAAGGAAAGACAGGAAGAAATTGTGAAGCACAGGGTACGTTATCTAAAGTCTTTAGTTCTTATGGAGTTTTTATTGAATTCAAATGCTCACAAAACTGATACACAAGTTTATTCATGTATGTTTGACGGTCTCATTGGTGGTAGCCATAATTATCTATACCTTGGTATGAAACAAGGAAAAGCTTTGACGATACCCTGTTTGTTTTTGTTTAATTCTTTAATTACAGCTCCAGAATTAGTGCAAAGTTCTCCGAAAGACACCCATGAGCCGAAAAGATTCACATACAGATTGGCAAATATATTTCAAAACATTTTCTTATGATTGCAAATATTTTGAGACTAGAAGATTTGTTTTAATGAGAAACAAAATTTCAGTTAATATATGCTCCATATCTGAGTTTTCATCTTTATCACTGTCTCTGCACTTGCACGTCTACATATATACATACTGTCCGTATGTGCCTGTCCCGAATAAAGTTTTTCCAGGGCTAACTTTGCTTACAGGGCTTGCTCTTGTTCTTGTTAACAGAAGAGTTAAAGAATACTCTTGCTGTTGGAATTGAGTTCAACAATCTAGAATATGAGCCAGAGTATGAAGACTTGGAGAATCCAACAACGGAAACGCTTGTCAAACTAATAGAGGATGCTGTAAGAGATTTTTATTTATGATTTGGAGACAACCTTTTAATTAGTTGTATTAATTAACGATTGATCTTAGGAATGTATTTGAAACTGATTTCTTTTAAGACTGCTCGAACCCTCAGGTGAGTGAAACTAGATGGAATTTTCAGAAATCACGAGTTGTGTAAATCATTACTGGCTTGATCTTTCATGGCACTACTCATTATACGGCTGATAAAGTAATATTATTACTATTTATAATAAGTTTAGCGGCTCCCAGCTAATTATATTTCACAGACTCTGTTCGAAATATATGAGAACAAATGGTAGGAATTTCCCAGTTAGTGCTTCAAACCACTTTTTAACGCCAACAGAAGGGCGAACCCCGCTAAAGAAAACAATACTAGGAGCCTGGGTATACCCACGAGGCCCTGGGACCTAGATCTCGTGGTCCCATGATGCTTCGGTGGCTTTTTTCCTCGTGCTTCAATCCATTCAGGAAGTATTTTGCTTTTGCCTTACCCTGCCTTGCCGTATTTTAGACTATACTTCTGTGTTTTTACACAGTAGGTTTCTTTTTGGTGATATTTGTCGCTTTTCAGGATATTTAAAACCGCTGAACATGTCCCACAGAAGACACAAGTCGCGTAAGAGGAATCGTTCCCAGTCACCATCTTCCTGCCAAAACTCTGTTTTGTCGCCTGACGTACATCATGAAGGGTCCCTGTAGAAACGGCGTAAGGACAAAAACGATTCCCTTCAAAATAATTTTCAGTCTATTGAACGTCTTTTCAACCGAATAGATTCGGTAGAGTCCCAAGCAAATCAGCCAGAAACTATTGCAGATACTGACAACGATGCTTACCATTTATGGCTGGTGAAACATCAGGCTTGGAGAAAAGTGAACCTTTGCCGACCGAAGGGTCTTTTAAGACTGCTACTACGTCCGTTGGGGCACCCGTAAAGCCTATTAAGGCACCCGTAGCGCCTATTCAGGCACCCGCAGCACCTACTAAGGCACCAAGAGAGTCTGGTAAGACATCTGACGAAGCTGAAAACTCAGCGAAATGTAGTGATGCTCATGGGCTGTTCGACCCAGTTGCCAAGTCAACCTCCTGGAAACCAGCAGCCTCTTTCTCCAAGTTTCTAGATACCAACTTTCGGAGAAAATTATCTTACCTGCAATCTCTGGTTATTATGGATTACTGGGCAACTCCTGAAGTGGATGCACTCTCTGCTCCAAAACTCGATCAGCAATTGTTGAATCAAGGACCATTTAGAGTGAAAAAGTTTGTACAAGAAAGGGACAAGGCAATGTTTAATGTTGAGCATGCTTTCTTAAATGCCACAGGCCCACTTTGTGGCGTTCATGATTGTATCGAAAATGATTCAGCTCCAACTTATGAGGAAATTAAAGCAGCTTTGGAGCATGCTCTTTGCCTTTTAGGCTCAGCCAATGCTCAGCTGTCTATCCTTAGACGACAGAGAGTCCTAGCCACCATAAACCGTTCGTGGACAAACCTCGCAGAATTACCTCTGCCTAATGCAAAATCATAGCTATTTGGAGATGATTTCCCCTCCCTGGCCTCAAAACAGGTCGAGTTTTCAAGAGGCCTCACGAAAAATTTGGCACAAACTACAGGGAAATCCTTTTCTAAACGTAGTAATAGTTCCCATTCTCAAAGCAAACATCGAGGAGACACCTTTAACAAGTAACAATCATTGGGTATTCAAACCCATCTAAATCTCAGTCAAATTACCAAGGGCCTCGATCAAAAAATGGGCTTTTTCGTCCCCCTCACCAGGGACGTCAGCCAGACTCTCAGAGTGCATAATGTCTTGGAGAACCCTAACATCGGACACACAGATTCTCTCAATTGTTTCAGGTTACAAGATATGTTCCTCAAAACTCCTTTTCAAATGTCTCCACCATTTACCCAAGCATCGGGTCAGGTGGCACTCCTAATCTCCAGGAAGTGAGCGAGTTATTGTAAAAAGGGGCCATACAAAAAACCCCTTTTACCAGAGACGGTTTTTACAGCCGCCTGTTTCTTGTACCCAAAAAGGAGGATCTATGCGTCCGGTGATAGACCTAAATTCTGTGAACAAGTTCATTGTAGACGAGCATTTCCAGATGGAAAACCTCAGTTGCCTAATGACGTTGCTTTTACCAGGAGATTTTATGACAAATATAGATTTAAAAGATGCTTACCTTTCTGTGCCTGTCCACGAGTCTTCCCGAAAGTTCCTTCGCTTCATTTGGAAGGGAACACGTTACCAGTTCTAAGCTCTTCCATTCGGCCTGTGTTAAGGACCCAGAATTTTTACGAAAGTTCTAAAACCTGTTGCCGCATTCCTGAGGAAGAAGGCCATTCAAGTCCTTATATACCTGGACGACTTTCTTCTTTTGGCTGCAACAGCGGAGGAAGCTGTAAAAAAATACTCCGCCGGTAGTGACTCTCCTTCAGTCCCTAGGTTTTACAATAAACCTCAAGAAATCATTACTGATTCCAACACAAGTGATAACCTTCCTGGGTTTCCAAATAGACTCAGTGTTCATGATGATATCACTCCTGGCAGAAAAAAGCGACAAAATTCTAGACTGTTGTCGCCGCCTGCTCGTTTCTTGAAGTATCACATTGCAAAACCTAGCAAATTTAATAGGTCTGTTAGAGTCTCGAGAACCAGCCATTTGGCAATCTCCACTACACTTTAGTCACTTACAATCAGATCTGATAAGGGGCCTACAAATGAACCAGGAGTCTTATGACGCCTTGATTGCCCTGCCACCGAGCGCCAGAGTAGAACTTGCTTGGTGGTTGAAACACACCCTCAATGCAAACGGCAATCCCGTGCACCTTCCTCCACCGGATATGATCATCACAACCGACGCCTCCAAGAAAGGTTGGGGTGCGGTGCATCAATCCCGTCAGACCAATGGCAGATGGTCCCAAAAAGAGTCTCTCCAACACATCAATTATCTAGAGCTAAAGGCATCCTTTTTGGCCTTAAAAACCTTTCTCAAAGGCAGGTCTCATGTAACCCTATCTCTACAGCTAGACAACACGACCGCCATTGCTTACATCAACAACAAAGGGGGTACATGTTCCCCCCAACTTATGACTCTGGCCTTAGAAATGTGGGATTGGTGTCAGGAAAGAGACATCCTTGTGATAGCTTCTCAACTCCCAGGAAGAGACAACGTCTCAGTGGACAAGGAGTCCAGAGAATTCAAGGACATGAGCGAGTGGAAGTTGAACCCAACAATCATTCAGCCTTTTCTGCTGAATTGTCAGACGGATCTGTTTGCGAGCTGTCTAACCAACCAACTCACGGATTACATCAGTAGGAGACCCAACTCGGGAGCCATCCACACAGACACCTTTGCGATAAACTGGGCTCCTCTACGGGGTTATGCCGTCCCTCCCTTCAATCTGATATCCACAACCCTGACGAAGGTAACAATCGACCAAATGGAACTAATTCTCATTGCCCCATTTTGGCAAGCCCAGCCCTGGTGACCGGTTCTGTTGAGACTTCTAATATTTAAGCCAGTGGCGCTACCGAACAGTCTAACCCTGTTAACGGACCCAACTGACCTGAACTGAGTTCACCCAATGTATCCTCGCCTTCACTTGTCGGTATTTCACATCTCTACCAACGTTT